TCTCAGCTGTCAGATAATGAATCCCATCTTGGAAAGTACCAATTTCAGGAGAAGAGAGGGGACAAGGAAATTGATATTCTAGAAGACAACACCGATCAAGTGCTCATGTTTTTATGTAGGATGATTGGCACAGTGGGAGATATTTGCAGTCAGCTTGTGGTAAGAAGGGAATGGAACACCCCTGTTCTCAGAGGGAGAAGAATCAGAGAAGATCTGCTGAACTTCATGGCACAATGCTTTAATTTAGGCTTCTAATTCTGGGGCCGCTGCCTAGATGTGTTGGGAGTTTAAAGCAGTAGGCAGTGAAGTCATGATGCAATTCTGATTCATTCCTTTAGACGTTTTGTATCTTATATCCTGTGTAGTTTTAGACTTTTGATTCTGTAATGCCTTAGGAGAGTTAAATAGGTATGGCACAGATTTCTGTCTTATAGATCTATTAAACTATGAAACCACATTACTAACAGATTTGCTGTTACAATAGCAGGGACTTAGCCTGCGCAGGCCATGCAGACGCTTCCCTGTCTGTGCCTGGCAAGGCCCAATGCTAACTGATGGACACGGACCAAGGAAATGCCCAATTCTAGGAGGTGATGCACATTTATAAAGTTAAGAGGCAAATGACAGTCTAGTAGGATGAGGGTTTTCAGCAGCTCACCAAGTTCACCTGAAATATGACTGGGGAAGCTTTGATTTTAGCCTTTGGTCTTAGGTTTCAATCAAAATATATTGGATAACTTCAGAGGGAAAAGTGGTTCCAGCACAGGTGATTGATTCCAGGGCAGTGACATACTCAGAGCAGAGCATCTCTTCCTGCATCATCATTTCATGCGGATCATTAAATCCATGTTTGTTGAAGATAGCTTCTCTCTGGATGTTGGGGTAATTTAGAGTTCAGAGTACAATTTCTGTATACGGTCATGTTTCTGTAATCCACATGTGCAATCTTGCCACTCCTCTGCAGGCGGTGAGCTCAGGAGGAATGGTTATGTATCATTTTGTACTACTGAATGTAACAGTTCTTTGTAAATTACTTTTGAACGGTTTGGCTCTCTGGGCTCTTTTCTACTTCTTGGACTCTCAGGAGGTGACCAGGCTGGTTGGTGACACGTCTGGGTGCTGTTGCCAGGGCTGTTGAACACTCAGCGTGCATGGAGGTGATGCTGCAGAGCATTCAGCCGTATCAGGCCGGCCAGAAAAGAGCAGCAGCTGCCTCCTTTGTGTCCTGCTTGGTGAAGCTTCATTTGGCCCTGAAGCAGTTTGGGGCACCCCTGTGTTAAATCTAGAGGCAGTCCAGGTGACGTGACAGTGACAGAGCAATGGGAGTCCACAGCCTGGAGGGTGATTTGGAGCTGTGGGGACGTGGGAAGGGAAATGCATCTGGAGTCTTCTTTGTCGTGAGGTTTCAGAAGGGTAGCAAGGATTGATGCTGTAAAATCTCAACACATCTGAAGAGCAGAATGCTCTGTCCAGGCTCATTGTAAGGCTGATCTGATCACTGTGAAAGGATGCATCAAGGATTTGGGAGGGCTCTTGGGGGCTGAATTAGGACACTTCAACTGAGTAACTGAGCATGGCAGTGGTGAATCAGAATTTTTCTTGCCATCAAATTGCTATGGCTCAGCGAAGCTCTGTGTGCTGTTTTCTCCCCACAGTGGCTCCACATTCGCTCTATGTCTGCTCTGGTGTCAGGAAGTTTGTGAGTGCTGCATTAGTATTTCTGAATTCATTGCATCAACTCCCTTTATCACCACCCATGGACGCAGTTCCTCTTGGAGCATCACAGACCTCAAAACTGAGAAGCTGCTGTAAAAACCTGCAGCAAAACTCCATGTCACGTCTGCTAAAATAACCCAGCAGAGCGAATGGAGCTCCGGCTGCAACAGCAGAATCTCTTTGCAATTGATCCTTATCAGCCCTGTGTGCAACAAAGGAGTGCACCGCACCATGTGTGCGCCAAGCAGTGTCATCAAGCTGCAGGGGAGATGGAATGTCCAGCTCCAGGTGAGCTGTGAGAAAGAGAACCTCTCCTGGTGTCTTTAGGCAGCTGTGCAGTGCTGAGCTGGAGACTGGAACAGCTGGGCCCCAGGGCTGGCAGCTGGCACCGAGCTGCTGGCTCCAGTGGGCACTGCTTGGGGTTGTGTTTTTAAAGCACGCACTGGAAACATGGGAGAAGTGCATCCACTGTGTTTCTTGATTCAGACACGTATGCCCAAGGGAGCCTTTACTGGATGACTGCGCTTCAAACAACATTGCTTTTCTCATCTGCACATGTGCAACAGACAGTGCCTGCAGGCAGGGGCGTCCCTAAGAAGCAGCAGAAAGCTGAAGTCATGTCTAAACAAGGAAAGGACTCGTAAGCTTGGCAGATTGATCTGGACATACCAGGAAATACACTGAGAAACAAAGGGCAGCAGTAATCTGCTCTGAAAAACACTGGGAAAACTATAGGAGACTTAAAATAAAAGGGCTGAGAAGGGATCAGGCTGGAGCTGCCTGTTGCTGCCTGCATAAGGCTTCCCTACTTGGAAGCAGGCAGTGTCCACATCAGCTGTCTTCTTGCTGAGGCTGCATCCCACCAAATGATGGGCATGAAGGGGTTCTATAAGAAACAGCAATGGAATAACAGCAAACCTTCAGCCTGGGTGGTATTCACCCAAGAGCCAAGAGGGAGCTGACACAATAAAGAGTTCAGTTACCAACTGAGCAGGGTCGCTGTTGTTTCAAACCATGGTGGTGTCAGAAACTGATGGAAGTCCCAGGTGGAAATGCGAGGAGCTGCTTACATTTGGCCCGAGCAGATTGGCACAACGTACCATGAGTTACTGGAAACGTGTGTGAACATTACGTTGTGGGAGAGCTCCCATGTGTTGTGTGTGAGGAAATCATGTCTTTCTCTGCCAGAGTTCTCCCAAAGAGTCAACAAGTTTATGCAGAGGAGAGAACCTGCTGGTAGTGCTTTGCAAAGGTGTTCAGAAAGACTCCTGGGCTGAGGTCTGAAGAAACTCACCTTCAGAGGTGAAAAAATTGTAGTTAGGCTTTCAGAGCAGGCACTAAGTCCCACTGCTGGAAAAATTGGACAGAGAGAGCTGGTGCTAAGCTCCAAACCTGGGTTTACATATTTCTGCATGGAGTTTTAGGATGGCCAAAGTGATGCGGGAGGTCAGCAGTGCAAGCACAGCAGATGCAGTTCTTTCCCAAAGAGAGGCGGTCTCTGGGGAAGCACCGACCCCGAGGGGCAGAAGCAGCCCCTGCCCCCACATGGAGACAGAAAGAGTCAGGGAGGCGAGGCGCTGCTTTCCCCATCTGTTCTGCAGGAGGACCTGATTTCAGTGGCCAAGCAAAGCGGCCTGCCAGTCAGAACAGTGCAGAGCTGGTTCCGGCAGCGGCGGGCCCAGGACCATCCCAGGCTTACGAAGAGATTCTGTGAGGCGAGGTAGGTGGGTCAGCGTGGGGATGGGAGCCTCCAACAGCGAGCTGCATGGCAGCACACGTCCTGCCCTTAGCTCTGAATGCAGTCAGGTGGAGTGACAGAGCCACTGAGCAGTGCCCCCAGCTTCACCCTTCCTCCCCTCCCACTTCTGCATTTTAAAACAATAAAGTTGACTCAACAGTATCCACTGATCAGGTTTAAATCTCAGGTGCTGGAGGGATTTTCAGCAGTAATACCATTGGCAAACACCTTTTTAAGAAGATTTTTATATGAAATGACAAATTTTAAATACTCTTACCAGCTCGTGGACTGTTGGACATAACAGTGTGACAACCAGCCACTGGGCATGGACAGAGAGAGGTGACAACAGAAAAGCAACAGAAATCACTGAAAACTTCACCAAATTTCTTTTCCTCAAACTTTCCACTCTCATATGAGATACTAATGCATATCTCAGTAGAATATGGAATCAGAAAAGACAGAGGAGCCACCAAGTGTCCAAATGAAAAGGATCAGGTTGTTGGATCTCAGCTTGAGGCTTTAAACTGTATGTACAAAGAGGCTCCAATCAGGCACAAGATCCTCTGTTCCTTGTTCTCTGAAAACATTTCTCAGTGCTTGAATCCTGTTCCCACATCACAAAAGGAGGCAGGTAGAGGCACCTCGGGAGTGATGCTGATTCCCACTTAGTGCTGGCAGCATACGTCTGGGATTTGGGCACAGTAGAACCCAGGTGAGCTGTGGGTATCCCACTGCCTTACCAGCACATTGCTGCACATGCAAACAGAGCTGAGCTGCTGCAAATCTGTGTCCAAACAGAACCGCTGTGGGCTTCTCGGCTGGTGGGAGAGCACCTGGGAGGGTGGGATCCCACATCCATCTGCCCACACCTATTCCTTCTCCAGCTGTTTCTGCTCTCAAGCCCTTGTGCCTAACTACACCCATTTGCTGCTTTCCAGTCGGGTGCTGGATGTGATGGCAAAGCCTGGGGAGGCATCCAAGCTCCAGAGGGAGTTATAATTACAGAATCACAGAATCACAGAATGGCCAGGGTTAGAAGGGACCTCAAGGATCATGAAGCTCCAACCCTCCTGCCACATGCAGGGCCACAAAACTCCCCATTTAATACTAGACCAGATTGACCAGGGCCCCATCCAGCCTGGCCTTGAACACCTCCAGGGATGGACGGGGCATCCACAGCCTCTCTGGGCAGCTGTTCCAGCACCTCACCACTCTCTCTGTAAAGAATTTCCCCCTAACATCCTACCTCAATTTTCCCTCCCTCAACATCAAATCATTTCCCCTTGTCCTGCAGTTATCTATCGTTTCAGAGTTGATTCCCCTCCTGTTTGTAGGCTCCCTTTAGGCGCTGAAAGGCTGCAATGAGGTCACCCCACAGCCTTCTTTTCTGAAGGCTGAACAAACCCAGCTCTCTCAGTCTGTCTTTGTAGGGGAGCTGTTCCAGCCCCTGATCATCTTCATGGCTCTCCCCTGGACCCTCTCCAACAGCTCCCTGTCTTTTTTGTACTGGGGGTTCCAGACCTGGACACAGTGCTGCAGATGGAGCCTCACAAGAGCAGAGTAGAGGGGGACAATCACCTCCCTGTCCCTGCTGGCCAGCCTTCTTCTGATGGAGCACAGGATACCATTTGCATTCCAAGCCACAAGAGCACACTGCTGGCTCATGTTTTGTTTTTCATCTATCAAGACTCCCAGGTCCCTCTCTCTCAAGGTCCCAGGTCCCCTGCTCTCAAGGAGCTCCTTCCAGTCTGTAAGGATGCCTGGGATTCCTCCAGCCCAATGCCAAACTCTGCATTTTGCTGTGTTGAACCTCATCAGGTTCACCCAGGCCCACCTTTCCAGCCTGTCACTCCATCACCAAAGGCCTCCAGCTGGCCCTGCGCCAGCACCCGACTTCGTGACAGCCCACGTGGTTCAACCAGAGAACCCAACTGTGCCAGTATCCATAGCCCTTATTAAAAAGAGCAAAATGAGGCCGTGAAAATCAGCTCCTTTAGTAAGAAAGGAAATACGTTCTAAGAGGGGGGTAGAAGAAGAGGATGAGAATGAAGCCAGGCCATGACAAGAACGGCAGGAGGAAGAGGCCGAACTCATAAAGGAGACGAGAACCATTTGACTCCTGAGCACGAGTGAGCTGACAGATATGTGAAAAGACTTCAGCTGTCATGCAGGGGAGCACTCTGACACTGGGAGAACGGGGCCGCAAGCCTGGACTAGGCGGGCAGCAAAGGCAGGCATCTGGGATCCCTTTCACGGGCAGGGGGCATTGGCAAAGCCCTTGGAAATGAGGCACGAGCCTTCCCCTCGTGGAGGTGACTCTCCGTAAGGGCCGAGAGGGAAAGGAGTCCCTTCAAAGAAGATCTGGTATGTTACCCAGGCAAGCGGTCCACCGTGGGGAAAGGTGTGCCTGAGGGCACCAGCTCTTCTGGAGGTGATGCGTAATGCTGAAAAAAGAGGGGAGATACAGACTGGCTGTTGGCCGGCAATTGCTGATTCTGAGGGTGGGGACGCACTGGAACAGTTGCCCAGGGCTGCCGCCATCTTGCTTGGGAGCCTGGGACGCATTCCGCCCCGAGGGGGTAACCGTGATGTCACAGTGGTGGCAGGGAGCGGCCATTGTGACCCGCGGGGCTGGGAGCAGAGCAAAGGCTGCCGGGCTCAGAGCGTGGTCAGTGCGGCCTGGTGAGGTGCAGAGAGAGCAGGGACTCTTCAAGTGCTCACCGTTGACGCGCAACATGTCCAGTAGGAAGCGGAAGGCCCCCGACTCCGGGGAGCAAGGTGAGAGCAAAGCATCCCTGCACGCAGCTCCCCGCCACCGGGCAGAGGGGTGCTGGGGGTCTGCCAGCGGCAGAGAGGGAAGGAAGGGGCAGGAGCAAGGAGCACGGCCCTGGGGACTGCCCTCAGGGACACCTGGCCCCGCAAGGTGCTCACTGCTGCCCGCCTTTGCTCTCTCCTCTCCAGTGTGCATGCTGTGTCGCCGGGCGGATGTCGACCCGAACATCTGCGGGCGCACCTTTGCCGAGAGCGACCTTTGCGTGCATGAGTTCTGCTTGGTGAGTTCCAACCCTCAAGGGCTCCTGCCAGCTTCCTGCCAGGGATGCTCCCTTCCTGTCTGTCCTAACGAGATCCTGCTCTGCTCTTTCCCACAGCTTTTTTCTTTGAAGAAGAACACATTCTTTGAAGAAAGCGACCCCTGGGAGGAAACGCTGCGCCTCCCCGTTGGGACCATCAGATGCAGAATCAAGCAGGCGGACCAGAAGGTGAGCTTTGTGCCAGGAGAGGCTCACGCCAGCTTAGTCTGCACCCAGAGAAAGCAATGGCAGCCCTTCCAGCGGGCTCCAGGGCAAAGTCCTGCCATAGCAGACGAGCCTTCTCTGCCAGGCGGCTCTGCAGAGTGGAGCCCAGCAGCTTCCGCAGCCTGTGCCCTGCCCAGAGGTGTGGGGCCGGCCGTGGAGGCCCTGAGCCTGCTGCTGATTGGGGCTGCCTTGTTCCTTTCAGCAATGCTTTGTTTGTGGCGAGAGAGGAGCCGCCATCAGCTGCGCAGAGAGAGGCTGTGCACGCAGCTTCCACCTGCCCTGCGCCGCGGACGGTGAATGCGTCACCCAGTTCTTTGGGCAGCACAGGTAAGGGCTGTCAGCAGCAGCCAAGCCAGGGAGGAACCCACAGCGACAGCTCCCAGCAGCCTGCCAGAGACGGGGCCTGGGGCTCCTGCCTGCTGCTCTGCCCTCCTGGCAGTGCTTCTCACCGTACCCATCACTTGCATCATCCCCCAGGTCCTTCTGCTGCGAGCACCGCCCGCGACAGGCAGCGGAGGCAGCTCCACCCCAAGGCACTGACTGCGTCATCTGCCTGGAGCCCCTGGAGGACAGCACGTCCTACCAGACCCTGTGGTGCCCAGCGTGCAAGCACACCTGGTTCCACCGCCGCTGTGTCCAGGTAGAAGCCCTCCCCTCACCCTGCGGCCACGGCCCGCGCTCAGCAGCACCGGGCCCCGCTCACACTCACGCTGCTTCTGCTTCTCCGGCAGGGGCAGGCCACGAATGCCGGCACCATGAGCTTCCAGTGCCCCATTTGTCAAGACACGGAGCAATTCCGTGCAGAAATGTCCACTCTGGGGATCCAAGTCCCAGTCAGGTTGGTGTCCTTCTCCCCAGCGCTGCAGATGGGAAGGCGCAAGCGCTGGGCCTGCCCAGGGACTGTCCCGGCAGGCCTGGCCCTTTGCTGTCTCACCAGCACAGGCCTCAGCTTCACGGAGAAGCTGGAAATGGGGTTGCCTTGGATGAACGGGGATACTCCGGATCACACATGGCAGGGAACCGGGGACTCATCGCATTCCCTCCCTTCTCTTGTAGGAGACCGTCTTGGTGGGATGACAACACCTACCCATCACTTCTGCGGAGGCACAGGCGCTGCGATGTCAGCAAGTGCCTTTACCCAGGAGGCAGGGAGCAGGCAGAGGTGAATGGGTGAGTTACCTCAGCAGCCCCCTGGGCTTCTGCAGGGGATCTCCCCCTCAACACCGGATGGGGAACCAGGGCTGAGCACCGCAGATGTGCCGGCCGCTGCCTGGCTTGGCTCACTTTGTCCTCACAGCCACAACCCGTTTGCTTCCCCAGGCCCTGGCAGCTGCTGCTCTGCAGCTCCTGTGCTGCAGAAGGGACCCACCGACGATGCTCCTACCTGAGCAACAGAGTTAGCAGCTGGGAGTGTGACAGCTGTGCTGGCATAGGCACCGGTAAGATGCAAACAGCTGTGGCTCCCTAGGCAGGGGCCGGGCAACGCCTGGCAGTGGGTGCTGCTCAGGGCGGCCCTGCCAGGCTCTCTCTGCCCCAGGAAGGAGGGCAGCCCGTTGCGACTCAAGGCTGCAGCTTCATCCCAAAGATCACCTTCCTGCTTTCCTTTACAGCCTCCAGCAGCAACACGGAGCGCGCCGGACCCAGCACCAACACGGAGCGCGCTGGCCCCAGCACTTCCAGCCAAGGGGCTCCGGAGCCTCCCCGTGGCTCCCAGGGACCGGAGAACATCAGCTCCGGCTCCAGCAGCCAGGCAGCATCGGGCCCCTCACACCGGTCCCAGCTGCCTGAGAACAGCCGCCTGCCCAGTGAGCCTGGGACACGGCAGAGGGCAATCGGCCCACGCCTCCCTGAGGATCAGGAGGCATCTCTGCGGCGCCGAGGACGCCGCGGGAGCGGCCGTGCAACAGCCCCGCGCACCAGCAGCAGCTCCCGCAGGTCCACCCCATGGAGGGCACCGCGGCCCTCCAGCGACTCCCCGGTGGCTGCACCCAGAAGGAGCCCCAGGCAGCAGGGGATGGGCCGGGCACGAAGCCGCTCCCCGCTTCAAGATCGGGCCTCACGTTCCCAGAGCCGGCCCAGAAGAAGCCGTGGCAGCAGACAAACGCCACGCCGAGCTGCACAGAGCAGCACCCTCTGCTCAGCCGCCCCAGTGACATCGAGGCCCTCGGGGGGTTCCCCGCTGCCTGGACACAGAAGACCCTCCAGGCAGCTAGGGAGGGCCCACACATGAAGCCCTTCCGCAGCGGGATGTCAGGCTGCGACTTCCCACACAGACCCCAGCACGCCGCAGCAGCCAAACCCAACAGCAGCGGCCAGCCTAGGCACAAAGCTGCTCCCAGGTCCATCTGCAGAACCACATCCCCACAGCCAGACCTCAGTCTGCACAGGAGCAGCCGGGTGCCAATGACACCTGCTCAACTTGGTCAACATCAGCCAAGACGACAAATCCCACACTCATTTACATCAGCTTGCTCAACTTGGTCAACATCAGCCAGGACGACAAATCCACGCTCATTTACATCAGCTTGCTCAACTTGGTCAACATCAGCCAAGACAATAAATCCCACCCCCACCCCCATCAGCTTCATTCTTCTCGTCTTTTCCTGGGGTGGGCAGAGTTCAGACCTCGACCACAGGGTTGCCTTCTCCCCAGCAGAATGGCTCAGGTTGGAGGGGCCCTTAAATATCATCCGGCTCTAACCCCCTTGCCGTGAGCAGGTTCATGCACCACCAGATCAGGATGCCCAGGATCCCATCCACCCTGGCCTCAAAGGACTCCAGCGACGGGGTGTCCTGAACCCCTCAGGGCGGAACTCACTGTTCCAGTGCCTCGCCACTCCCTGAGGAAACAGTTTCTTTCTAACACCTCATCTCTCTCTATCCTCTTTTAGTTTCATGCCATTCCCCCTTGTCCTGTCACTATCAGAACGCATGAAAAAGTCAGTCCTCCTCCAGCTTGGCAGGACCCTTAAAAGTACGAGAAGGCTGCAACGAGGTCTCCTCAGAGCCTTCTGTTCTGAAAGCAAAGTGAACCCCACTCCCACACCCTGCCTTCTGAGGTGCGGTGCTCCAGGCCTTGTCTCCTCTTTGCGGCCCTCCTCCGGCCCCCCCCTCCCACCGCTCCACACCCCTCCTGTGCTTGGCACCCCAGGCTTGGGCGCAGTACTCCAGATGGATGCCCTCGCAAGGGCACAGCAGAGACGGACAATCACTGCCCTGCCCTGCTGGACACCTTCCTCAGGCCTTCCGGGCTGCAGGCACGCGCTGCTGGCTCATCTCCGGCTTTTTGGCCATTACGACCCCCAGGTCCTTCTCCACAGGGCTTTCACAGGGCTCCGCTGTCTTCTCCTCCCAGTCTCCACCCGTATCTGCGACTGCCTCAACCCAATCGCAACACCTTGCACTGGGCCTTGTTAAACCTCACGAGATGCTCACGTGCCCTGTATTCCAGCCTGGGTCCAGGTCCCTCTGGATAGCGTCTCTGCCTTCTGCTGTGCCAAGCGCACCGTCAGCTCGGTGCCGTCAGCTGGGGGTGCACTCAATCCCACCGTCTGTGTCCTTGATAAAAATGCTCACGAGCATCAGTCCCCAGACGGACCCCTGGGTGCCCGGCCTCCACCTGGACACAGAGCCGCTGGCAGCAATCCTCGGGCACAACATCCAAACAACCTGCATCCACCTGTCTGTCCAACACTCAAATGCACATCTCTCCACTTCAGACATTAGGAGGTGCTGTGGGACCACGTCAGAGGCCTTGCACGAGTCCAGGCAGAAGACATCAGTCGCCCTTCCTTTGTCCATCACATGTCCATCACTTTGGCCATCACTCCATCACCAAAGGCCTCCAGATGGCTCAGGCACAGCCGCCCTTGCTGAAGCCGTGCTGGCTGTCTTAGGTCGCCTCCCCATCTCGTGTGTGCCTTCACATCTCCTCCAGGAGGATCCACCCCGCCATGTTCCCAGGCCCACAGATGAGGCACAGCGGCCTTCAGGCCCAGCTGGCTTCTGGCCCAGCCGCACTGAGGCACGAGGTCTCAAGTCAGGATGGATCAAGGCTCTGCTGGCAGGGCAGCCCAATTCTGGGGGTGTTTCATGGCTTGGGGTTGCCACTGTTCTGTATCGTTCATTCATTAGCAGCAAACCATTTCCATTTGTAGTATCTTTTAAAGCGTTGGGGGGAAAAAAAAAGGAGAGAAACAAAGCGTAAAACTGGTGGGATATCTGACTTCTTTTTTCGTGAAGGTAGTGCGTCAATGCCTCGTCTGATGTCAATGGTTGCAATTTTTCGTGAGGTCTTAATGCGTTTGTCAGATTTCTGATGAAACTTTACTCTTGCCATGCAATTGTTTACAAGCGTGCTGACTGCCAAAACGCGACGACGTGAATAAGGCTTGACTGCAAAGCGAGGGATATTTCTGTCTGTTAAAAGAGGTCTGACAGAAGTCCAGTCAGGAGACATGGTTAGATTTTGGAGTCGAATATCTGGTTGGAACTCCAGGCATTCCATTTGAAAACTGGCAGGTAATGCATTTGTATCAACTTAAAATGGGATCACCCACATAAAGGGATGATTTTTTGGCAAAATTGAAACCGGTTTCCAAATTCCTTTATCAAAAGAGAAAGCATGGCTGCACATTCTTTGCTGTTCAGAGCACTGCGTGGGGCCGGGGCTGGGCTGCACTGCTGGCTGTGCGGAGCTGCGCATTGGGTACACCTGCTCTGGGTCCCAGAGAGAGCTCCAACACACAAAGTAAAGCAATACGGTGCCCAACTCTCTTGCAAAATACTACTTTAGGATTCAGCATTCACCAAGAAAGAGCAAACCTAGCTTTTACAACAGCTCACACAAATTACCCAGACACCCTGTGAGACAGAAAGCATGAAGATTCATGGAGGCAATCAGCTTTTTCTGGGTGGAGTTTCAAGCACGCAGCCCAGCCTGGAGCACAGCCCCAGGTGCCCCTTTTCCGTTTGTAATCCTGCAGGAGTAGATCACCTGCTGGGGCACAGAGCATCATCTGGACAGTTTCCACTGACAGAAGTAGAGCATCATACTGGGGCAGAAAAAGAAAAAAAAAAAGAAAAGAGCATAGCTATATTAAAATACTTTGAACTGAACTTTTCACCCTGCAGGATGAGCTCACTTCAGGACTCACATCGTGAGAGGTTTGGAAAAAAATATTCAAACATCCTGATTTGTGTTTCCAGTGCTACGGATTAAAAGCTGCAGAAATGCCTTCTCCTCCACCATCCATCAACTCTGATCCTGGGACAGAGACCCACAAACTCCTCAGGGTTGGAAGGGTCCTCTGAGGGCCATCCGGACCAACCCCCTTGCAGCGCACAGGGACACCGCAACTGGGTCAGGTCTCCAGGGACAGAGCACCCAGCGCACCTCTGTGCGACCTGTGCCAGTGCCTCACCACCTCTCTGCAGAAGATTTCGTCCCTATAGCCAACCTAAACCTCCCCTCTTGGAGCTTGCAGCCATTTCCCTCTCGGAGCTGGAAACCACACTGACACTTTGGTCAGTTTTGGAGCAGAAAATGAGATGAGATGTAGATAGACAGATAACTCGTTGTTTTTCTTCCTTGATTTACTATTATGACCTCGCTGACCGACTGCACGCCGCACGCCCAGCACTGCCGCCAGCTCCAAGCACCACCAGCCCGCCGGGCCGCCAGCGCAGCGCCCTTACACCAACGAGCCGCCGCTTCCGCTCTTCTCGGCACATGCGCAGCACCAGCAGGAGGACCCGCTACCATCGAGTTGGAGGGCTGGAGGCACAGAGCAGTCAGAGCAAAGAGGCACCACTTCCGGGTTTCCGGAAGCGTCAGTGTCTGGAGGATCGCTTCGTATTACCGCAGGGACGGGCGGTACGGAGCGGAGAGAGCAGAGCGACGCGTCGTGCCGCTCCGGGACGGCTCTGTGGTGCTCTGCGGGACCGTGCGGGCCCCGGGGGGCCCAGAGTGCTCCCAGAGCTCGTCTGACCCCCCGCTGCCCCTAAAACCGCCGCGGCGGCGGTCCCGACTGCAATTCTGCGCTCCGGTCAAGCGGTGGCAGCAGAGACCGAGAAAAGAGCGGCGCGGGGCGTGGGTACCGGCGATGGGAGCGGAGAGAGCCTGGGGCTTGGCTCTGCTCGGGTAAATGCGTCCATTCCAACTGCATTCAGGCTCGGCTAGCTCTGAGTTCTGCCAAAGTGGTTGGCATTTGTCATTGCTGAGCGCACAAGAGGTTCGACCAAAGGTGACGATGCCCGAAAGGCAGAAGGATGGAGAAAAGCGTGGCCACATCCCTGGCACGGAGCCGAGCCCGTAGCTGGAGAAGGGGGTTGTTCTGCCGGATGTGGACTGGGAGCGGTTCTGTGCCACGGCCCGAATCTGCCCTTCTTTGGCTCCGGTCGGGCCAGGAGCTGCTGCGCGGTGCCGCACACCGTGCGTGTGCCGTAACCCCACGCTGCTCCGTGTGCACGGTGGTTGTGGAGGGCCGTGGTTGTGGGGGGGACCCGAGACCGCCTTCAGCCGGGCGACTGACTCCTGGCTTCTCCGCTGTACTTGGTACAACCTGTGTTTGTTGTGCACCTTTCACAAGCGTGTGACAGTACAGTGTTTGCTCTGATGCCTTCACAAGGCTGTCACAACCGTGACTCCTGTCTCCAGTTAGCCTGCCCACAGGTCCACCTGTGAACCAGACAGAAAGAGGGCGAGAATTCACAGTGTTACAGTTCTGTATGGCGTTGTCACAGTCTGAGCCACAAAGAAACACGTCGCTTCCTTCACACGCCTACAGAGTATTGAGAGTGAGACATAAATATGTGCGTATACATGCATACAGAGCGTCTGATCCTTCACCAATCATAATGGAACTTCTTTTCACCAGCTGCGTATTCACATAGGTTTCACCTTTATAAATGTCCACAGTCCATAAATGCCTCATGAAGCTCATGCAGACTGAGACGTGCTTGATCGTTTTTCCAAATCATTTCACTGATGGGCTCCGCCACAAGCTCACCTGAAGCGCAACGGTGCCCAAGCCCAGTGAAAAGTGTTGAAAAGCAGCAAGGGGCTGGAGATGGAGAAGGGTGAAAGAAGAGCTCGGGTGATGTTTGCACAAAGAACAGAACGTGGAGAGGAACAGCATCCCCAGGTCTTCAAACTGACAGAAGTGTTGAGATTGTTTCACTCCCTTCTTCAAGAGTGGATGTGCAGTCGGGTTCATGCCAGCTGACCAGAAAGACACCAAACCTCTATTCATCAGGGGAAGAGAAGGGTTAGGATGAGCCTGGAAATTATCAACTACTTGGTGTACCATCCAGTCCCGGGACAATTCTAGAAGCTATCACCCAAAAAGTCTTTCTCAAAAGGTGAAATTTCCTAATGATTTTTGAAGTAGAAGTCACTCTAAGAGGAAATCAGATACAGTTGCACATACAGCACACAGTCCAAATGCGCAGAAATTTCTGTGCAAACTGTGCAAAACAAAATGGTAACAAACTCGTGAATGCCTCAGAACAAAAACTGTGCTGCCATGCTCCTGCGAAAGGTGCAGAACAAACATGTTGTGCGTGAGTACAATGGAGAAGTCCGGAGTTTGTTGTCTTGCTTAAGGCGGTCTCGGTTCGATCCCCAGCCCCCCACACAACCACCACGCAATGGGAGAAGCATGACTGGTATGGCATGCACACGGTACATGGCACCAGGCACACTCCACGCCATCTGGAAACTGCTCCTGAGCCAATTGGAAGGGCCCATCCTATGGCATAAAATGCATTGCCGACTCCACAGTAGGACCGTCATCCCGGACTTTGGGAGAGCAGGATCTCCTCAGTGGGCCTGCTTGGAGGTATCCCATGGACGGGAGCTTTGGCAAGTAGGCCCGAGAGAGCGGCTTGACACTTAAACACCACTTCCTCCAAGCTCAAGATGGATGCACCCCTGAGAGCAAGAAAGCAGGGAAAAGTGGCAGGAGAACTGCTGGATAAGCAAGGGGCTCATGGATGGACTCAAAGGGAAGAGGAGCGTACACAGCACGTGGAAGAAGGGCATTTCTACTTGGAAAGAATGTATGAGCGTTGTCAGGGCCTGCAAGGATGCAATGAGGAAGGCTAAGGCACCCTTGGGATTAAATCCAGGAAAGGCGGTCGAGGAGAACAACAAGGGCTTTTGTGAGAATGTTGGTAGTAAAACTAAGACTGGAACACATGCGGGTCTGCCACTGAATGCCTTGGTAACAGGAGACAAAGAGAAGGCAGAGGTACTGAATGCCTTCTTTGCTTCCATCTTTACTACTAAGATTGCCCCTCTGAAATCTCTGAAATATTTTTTCCAATTATCTCATGGTGGGAGTTCTTAAGTGAGCTCGTACTACCTGTAGAAAAGATCAGTTACTTTATTTTAATGTATTAAAAGTATTTTATGTTTATGTAACTTAACATGAAATTTATAATATTCCACCATTTTTACGCTTCGTTTCTCTCCTTTTTTTTCCCCCCAACGCTTTAAAAAATACTACAAATGGAAATGGTTTGCTGCTAATGAATGAACGATACAGAACAGTGGCAACCCCAAGCCATGAAACACCCCCAGAATTGGGCTGCCCTGCCAGCAGAGCCTTGATCCATCCTGACTTGAGACCTCGTGCCTCAGTGCGGCTGGGCCAGAAGCCAGCTGGGCCTGAAGGCCGCTGTGCCTCATCTGTGGGCCTGGGAACATGGCGGGGTGGATCCTCCTGGAGGAGATGTGAAGGCACACACGAGATGGGGAGGCGACCTAAGACAGCCAGCACGGCTTCAGCAAGGGCGGCTGTGCCTGAGCCATCTGGAGGCCTTTGGTGATGGAGTGATGGCCAAAGTGATGGACATGTGATGGACAAAGGAAGGGCGACTGATGTCTTCTGCCTGGACTCGTGCAAGGCCTCTGACGTGGTCCCACAGCACCTCCTAATGTCTGAAGTGGAGAGATGTGCATTTGAGTGTTGGACAGACAGGTGGATGCAGGTTGTTTGGATGTTGTGCCCGAGGATTGCTGCCAGCGGCTCTGTGTCCAGGTGGAGGCCGGGCACCCAGGGGTCCGTCTGGGGACTGATGCTCGTGAGCATTTTTATCAAGGACACAGACGGTGGGATTGAGTGCACCCCCAGCTGACGGCACCGAGCTGACGGTGCGCTTGGCACAGCAGAAGGCAGAGACGCTATCCAGAGGGACCTGGACCCAGGCTGGAATACAGGGCACGTGAGCATCTCGTGAGGTTTAACAAGGCCCAGTGCAAGGTGTTGCGATTGGGTTGAGGCAGTCGCAGATACGGGTGGAGACTGGGAGGAGAAGACAGCGGAGCCCTGTGAAAGCCCTGTGGAGAAGGACCTGGGGGTCGTAATGGCCAAAAAGCCGGAGATGAGCCAGCAGCGCGTGCCTGCAGCCCGGAAGGCCTGAGGAAGGTGTCCAGCAGGGCAGGGCAGTGATTGTCCGTCTCTGCTGTGCCCTTGCGAGGGCATCCATCTGGAGTACTGCGCCCAAGCCTGGGGTGCCAAGCACAGGAGGGGTGTGGAGCGGTGGGAGGGGGGGGCCGGAGGAGGGCCGCAAAGAGGAGACAAGGCCTGGAGCACCGCACCTCAGAAGGCAGGGTGTGGGAGTGGGGTTCACTTTGCTTTCAGAACAGAAGGCTCTGAGGAGACCTCGTTGCAGCCTTCTCGTACTTTTAAGGGTCCTGCCAAGCTGGAGGAGGACTGACTTTTTCATGCGTTCTGATAGTGACAGGACAAGGGGGAATGGCATGAAACTAAAAGAGGATAGAGAGAGATGAGGTGTTAGAAAGAAACTGTTTCCTCAGGGAGTGGCGAGGCACTGGAACAGTGAGTTCCGCCCTGAGGGGTTCAGGACACCCCGTCGCTGGAGTCCTTTGAGGCCAGGGTGGATGGGATCCTGGGCATCCTGATCTGGTGGTGCATGAACCTGCTCACGGCAAGGGGGTTAGAGCCGGATGATATTTAAGGGCCCCTCCAACCTGAGCCATTCTGCTGGGGAGAAGGCAACCCTGTGGTCGAGGTCTGAACTCTGCCCACCCCAGGAAAAGACGAGAAGAATGAAGCTGATGGGGGTGGGGGTGGGATTTATTGTCTTGGCTGATGTTGACCAAGTTGAGCAAGCTGATGTAAATGAGCGTGGATTTGTCGTCCTGGCTGATGTTGACCAAGTTGAGCAAGCTGATGTAAATGAGTGTGGGATTTGTCGTCTTGGCTGATGTTGACCAAGTTGAGCAGGTGTCATTGGCACCCGGCTGCTCCTGTGCAGACTGAGGTCTGGCTGTGGGGATGTGGTTCTGCAGATGGACCTGGGAGCAGCTTTGTGCCTAGGCTGGCCGCTGCTGTTGGGTTTGGCTGCTGCGGCGTGCTGGGGTCTGTGTGGGAAGTCGCAGCCTGACATCCCGCTGCGGAAGGGCTTCATGTGTGGGCCCTCCCTAGCTGCCTGGAGGGTCTTCTGTGTCCAGGCAGCGGGGAACCCCCCGAGGGCCTCGATGTCACTGGGGCGGCTGAGCAGAGGGTGCTGCTCTGTGCAGCTCGGCGTGGCGTTTGTCTGCTGCCACGGCTTCTTCTGGGCCGGCTCTGGGAACGTGAGGCCCGATCTTGAAGCGGGGAGCGGCTTCGTGCCCGGCCCATCCCCTGCTGCCTGGGGCTCCTTCTGGGTGCAGCCACCGGGGAGTCGCTGGAGGGCCGCGGTGCCCTCCATGGGGTGGACCTGCGGGAGCTGCTGCTGGTGCGCGGGGCTGTTGCACGGCCGCTCCCGCGGCGTCCTCGGCGCCGCAGAGATGCCTCCTGATCCTCAGGGAGGCGTGGGCCGATTGCCCTCTGCCGTGTCCCAGGCTCACTGGGCAGGCGGCTGTTCTCAGGCAGCTGGGACCGGTGTGAGGGGCCCGATGCTGCCTGGCTGCTGGAGCCGGAGCTGATGTTCTCCGGTCCCTGGGAGCCACGGGGAGGCTCCGGAGCCCCTTGGCTGGAAGTGCTGGGGCCAGCGCGCTCCGTGTTGGTGCTGGGTCCGGCGCGCTCCGTGTTGCTGCTGGAGGCTGTAAAGGAAAGCAGGAAGGTGATCTTTGGGATGAAGCTGCAGCCTTGAGTCGCAACGGGCTGCCCTCCTTCCTGGGGCAGAGAGAGCCTGGCAGGGCCGCCCTGAGCAGCACCCACTGCCAGGCGTTGCCCGGCCCCTGCCTAGGGAGCCACAGCTGTTTGCATCTTACCGGTGCCTATGCCAGCACAGCTGTCACACTCCCAGCTGCTAACTCTGTTGCTCAGGTAGGAGCATCGTCGGTGGGTCCCTTCTGCAGCACAGGAGCTGCAGAGCAGCAGCTGCCAGGGCCTGGGGAAGCAAACGGGTTGTGGCTGTGAGGACAAAGTGAGCCAAGCCAGGCAGCGGCCGGCACATCTGCGGTGCTCAGCCCTGGTTCCCCATCCGGTGTTGAGGGGGAGATCCCCTGCAGAAGCCCAGGGGGCTGCTGAGGTAACTCACCCATTCACCTCTGCCTGCTCCCTGCCTCCTGGGTAAAGGCACTTGCTGACATCGCAGCGCCTGTGCCTCCGCAGAAGTGATGGGTAGGTGTTGTCATCCCACCAAGACGGTCTCCTACAAGAGAAGGGAGGGAATGCGATGAGTCCCCGGTTCCCTGCCATGTGTGATCCGGAGTATCCCCGTTCATCCAAGGCAACCCCATTTCCAGCTTCTCCGTGAAGCTGAGGCCTGTGCTGGTGAGACAGCAAAGGGCCAGGCCTGCCGGGACAGTCCCTGGGCAGGCCCAGCGCTTGCGCCTTCCCATCTGCAGCGCTGGGGAGAAGGACACCAACCTGACTGGGACTTGGATCCCCAGAGTGGACATTTCTGCACGGAATTGCTCCGTGTCTTGACAAATGGGGCACTGGAAGCTCATGGTGCCGGCATTCGTGGCCTGCCCCTGCCGGAGAAGCAGAAGCAGCGTGAGTGTGAGCGGGGCCCGGTGCTGCTGAGCGCGGGCCGTGGCCGCAGGGTGAGGGGAGGGCTTCTACCTGGACACAGCGGCGGTGGAACCAGGTGTGCTTGCACGCTGGGCACCACAGGGTCTGGTAGGACGTGCTGTCCTCCAGGGGCTCCAGGCAGATGACGCAGTCAGTGCCTTGGGGTGGAGCTGCCTCCGCTGCCTGTCGCGGGCGGTGCTCGCAGCAGAAGGACCTGGGGGATGATGCAAGTGATGGGTACGGTGAGAAGCACTGCCAGGAGGGCAGAGCAGCAGGCAGGAGCCCCAGGCCCCGTCTCTGGCAGGCTGCTGGGAGCTGTCGCTGTGGGTTCCTCCCTGGCTTGGCTGCTGCTGACAGCCCTTACCTGTGCTGCCCAAAGAACTGGGTGACGCATTCACCGTCCGCGGCGCAGGGCAGGTGGAAGCTGCGTGCACAGCCTCTCTCTGCGCAGCTGATGGCGGCTCCTCTCTCGCCACAAACAAAGCATTGCTGAAAGGAACAAGGCAGCCCCAATCAGCAGCAGGCTCAGGGCCTCCACGGCCGGCCCCACACCTCTGGGCAGGGCACAGGCTGCGGAAGCTGCTGGGCTCCACTCTGCAGAGCCGCCTGGCAGAGAAGGCTCGTCTGCTATGGCAGGACTTTGCCCTGGAGCCCGCTGGAAGGGCTGCCATTGCTTTCTCTGGGTGCAGACTAAGCTGGCGTGAGCCTCTCCTGGCACAAAGCTCACCTTCTGGTCCGCCTGCTTGATTCTGCATCTGATGGTCCCAACGGGGAGGCGCAGCGTTTCCTCCCAGGGGTCGCTTTCTTCAAAGAATGTGTTCTTCTTCAAAGAAAAAAGCTGTGGGAAAGAGCAGAGCAGGATCTCGTTAGGACAGACAGGAAGGGAGCATCCCTGGCAGGAAGCTGGCAGGAGCCCTTGAGGGTTGGAACTCACCAAGCAGAACTCATGCACGCAAAGGTCGCTCTCAGCAAAGGTGCGCCCGCAGATGTTCGGGTCGACATCCGCCCGGCGACACAGCATGCACACTGGAGAGGAGAGAGCAAAGGCGGGCAGCAGTGAGCACCTTGCGGGGCCAGGTGTCCCTGAGGGCAGTCCCCAGGGCCGTGCTCCTTGCTCCTGCCCCTTCCTTCCCTCTCTGCCGCTGGCAGACCCCCAGCACCCCTCTGCCCGGCGGCGGGGAGCTGCGTGCAGGGATGCTTTGCTCTCACCTTGCTCCCCGGAGTCGGGGGCCTTCCGCTTCCTACTGGACATGTTGCGCGTCAACGGTGAGCACTTGAAGAGTCCCTGCTCTCTGCACCTCACCAGGCCGCACTGACCACGCTCTGAGCCCGGCAGCCTTTGCTCTGCTCCCAGCCCCGCGGGTCACAATGGCCGCTCCCTGCCACCACTGTGACATCACGGTTACCCCCTCGGGGCGGAATGCGTCCCAGGCTCCCAAGCAAGATGGCGGCAGCCCTGGGCAACTGTTCCAGTGCGTCCCCACCCTCAGAATCAGCAATTGCCGGCCAACAGCCAGTCTGTATCTCCCCTCTTTTTTCAGCATTACGCATCACCTCCAGAAGAGCTGGTGCCCTCAGGCACACCTTTCCCCACGGTGGACCGCTTGCCTGGGTAACATACCAGATCTTCTTTGAAGGGACTCCTTTCCCTCTCGGCCCTTACGGAGAGTCACCTCCACGAGGGGAAGGCTCGTGCCTCATTTCCAAGGGCTTTGCCAATGCCCCCTGCCCGTGAAAGGGATCCCAGATGCCTGCCTTTGCTGCCCGCCTAGTCCAGGCTTGCGGCCCCGTTCTCCCAGTGTCAGAGTGCTCCCCTGCATGACAGCTGAAGTCTTTTCACATATCTGTCAGCTCACTCGTGCTCAGGAGTCAAATGGTTCTCGTCTCCTTTATGAGTTCGGCCTCTTCCTCCTGCCGTTCTTGTCATGGCCTGGCTTCATTCTCATCCTCTTCTTCTACCCCCCTCTTAGAACGTATTTCCTTTCATACTAAAGGAGCTGATTTTCACGGCCTCATTTTGCTCTTTTTAATAAGGGCTATGGATACTGGCACAGTTGGGTTCTCTGGTTGAACCACATGGGCTGTCACGAAGTCGGGTGCTGGCGCAGGGCCTGTCTCATGGCTTGGAGCAGACGCAGGGCCCTTCGTAGTGGGCCAAACTGTTATGAGATCCCCAGCTCATGCGTTTCTTCTCCAGACTGAAGAGTCCTAGGTCTCTCAGCCTTTTCTCGTGAGGAAGATGCTCCAGGCCCCTCCATCATCTCTTCGTCATCAGCCAGTTCCCAGTCCATCTCACTGCTCACTCATCGGTGCGATGACTGGTGCGAAGCTGGCTGTCCTCCAGCATCCAGGCAGCTCTCCTGTTCTCCAAGGCCTCTCCAAGATCATAGAGAGCAGTTCAGCAATTACCTCCACCAGCTCTCTCAGCACACGTGGGTGCATCCCCACAGGGCCCATGAATTTGCGAGCACTGATTTTGCCTGCACGCTTCCTGTTCAGATCCTCCTCAAGCAGGAGGAAGTCTTTAATTCCCCAGACTCTCTCTCTTACCGCCAGGGCCTGGGATTTAGGAGGGGCAATCTTAGTAGTAAAGATGGAAGCAAAGAAGGCATTCAGTACCTCTGCCTTCTCTTTGTCCCCTGTTACCAAGGCATTCAGTGGCAGACCGCATGTGTTCCAGTCTTAGTTTTACTACCAACATTCTCACAAAAGCCCTTGTTGTTCTCCTCGACCGCCTTTCCTGGATTTAATCCCAAGGGTGCCTTAGCCTTCCTCATTGCATCCTTGCAGGCCCTGACAGAACAGTGGCAACCCCAAGCCATGAAACACCCCCAGAATTGGGCTGCCCTGCCAGCAGAGCCTTTATCCATCCTGATTTGAGACCTCGTGCCTCAGTGGGGCTGGGCCAGAAGCCAGCTGGGCCTGAAGGCCGCTGTGCCTCATCTGTGGGGCATGGGCTTCTGCAGCACATCGTCCTGTTACATCCATCCCATGCCCCTCCGTGTATCTGCTGACACCTGCCTGCTGTGGGGCTGCCCATGGTGGCTGTACAGCAGGCCGGCCAGTGCAGCTGCTGACAGCTCCACCGTGCTCTGCAGCTCACAGTGCTCGTACCCCTCCTTGGGCTGGATCTTCCTGAGGTCCCTCGTGGATTTTGAGAAGATACACATCCCCAGATGCCTGAGGGCGCGCCATGGGAGATTGGACACCATGTAGTCCATACTGCCTCCTGATGCCGTAGTTCACCGAAACACTGCTGCAGGTGGTGCTTGCAGCTGTGAGACGTTCAGAATGTAATTCTTAACAGCAAGAGTTTTTCAGGACTCCCCTCACCTGACTCCATGGGGCCGAGAATCTTCTCATGGTTCCTTCAGAATGTGGGCTGACTACAGTGTTATACTAGAGCTTTATTATTACATATAGTCTTAGGAATAGAGTCAAGAATATGCAGCAGTAGTTGTTTAATCATCAACATGGAATCAATTACTTCCCTCTTTCATTCCTCTTGGTTATCCTAGATGTTTCTGTCACAGCCACTCACATACAGCTGTGCACACCCTCAAGGACTTACAGGGCTTTTGGATTGATATCTGCCACTGCTCATCCCACTTGACGATGTTTGGCAGGACGAAGACAGACCCCAGCATTCTGGTTACAAGTTTAAGAATTACATAAACATTTTAGCAAGTAGAATTGCTTATCATTGCCTACTTTTCTAGCACTTAGCGTCACTAACTGCTCCACAGAACATCTAGCAATTAGTGTAGCTTTCTTATTATCTAGAATCCTTACTTCACCCCATTTTTCAGTCACTGGGACCCTTGGCAGATCCACTGTTAATCAGTATGAAATGCAGGAATTGTAACGTAGAGTCAGACTCTACCTACAAGATCACAAGTTGGAGGATGCAGTGGAAGAAGGAGTTGCTGGCCACCAAGAAACCATGGGCTTTGCATCAGCTCCGATCTGATCCCCACTTAGGGCATGCCTAAGATGTTACCTGGATGTTGCAGCCAATACTTCAGTTTTGATTTCACTTTCAAATTGCACACTGAAAGATTGCATACCTCTGGTAAGCCAACACCTGAATGGTGATAATGCTGATGGGAAGAATCCCGCTGGCCACAGAAAAGTGGCTGAAATGGATGTCCTCAAATCTGGGTGAGGTAATGGAGGAGAAGTGGGGTTACATGTGAGTGGCTGCTTCCATGTAAAGCTACATGCTCTGGCATGGAATCAGAGAATGAGAGAACCACCAGGGCATCATCAAACCATCAAAACGCAGAAGCATAGAGTCAAAGAATCAGAGAATCCAGAATCATGCAATCAGCTAATTATATGCTCTAGAATCATAATAATTGAATAAAAGAAGCTCAGAAACAGAGAATTCTCAGAATCAGAGAATTTAGAATCAGAATTATCATAGAATCATTGAATAGCAGAAGCATAGAATCAGTGAATCAGAGAATCATTGTAGAATCATCAAGTCATGGAATCATAGAACAGCTGAGGTTGGAAGAGGCCTGACCATCCAGTCATCCAGTCCCAGTTTTCTGCCCTGGACAGGGGCACCTCCCATCAGATCAGGCCATCCAGGGCCTCATCCAGCCTGGCCCTGAACGCTTCCACAGATGGGGAGACCTGCGCTGAGGTTCACACATGCAACTCTATGAGGTCAGGCTCCCTGGGATTCCTTTTTGCTTGTGTATTTTATATGAACACTTTTTTTTCCTGAGTCATGGAAAAGGAGGTTTTGTGAAGGGCACAGCAGTGTTGGATTTCTTTTGGAAAGGTCTTAAAAATATTAAAAAAGTATTAAAAATATTAAAATCCATCTTCTGAAGAAAACCTCTCAGCACTTGTACCTGGCAGCAGTGCTTTGGTTTTCTACATAACCCATTCCATAAGGAGCGCTGGGTGATGCTGTTCAACACCATTGGTTATGAGCTTGCTCCATGCCAAATTTCCCTCTGTGGGAGTGAGAAAACAAAATAATGCTTGTGCCCACCAACTCCTGTTAGTCTGATTGGTTTCTGCCCAGGACAAAACTATGAGGACTGCAAAGATGTCAGAGGGAAAATTAGAAGGGCAAAGTGCAGCTGGAGTTCCATCTGGCTACGGCTGTTGAAGGCACTTAAAAAATGCTGCTCTAAGTGCAGTAGAAGCTAAGGGAGGATAAAGGAGAATCCCCAGCCTTCATGGGATGGAGGGGTGGAAACACAGGCTGAAGTCCTTAATGCCTTGTGGGCCTATGTCAGATTCTGTGAGGATTCGGTGAGTTTTATGGGAGAGTAGTTTATGGGGTTAATTAAATTAATTAAATTAATTAATTGTTTCTACGTTCTATGATGGTTCTATTATTCCAGCCTGGTGATTTTATGATGAGCCGATGCTTCTATGACTGTATGTTCTAGATTCAATGAGTGCAGATTTCATAATATCTCCATGATGATTCAATACTTCTAGATTGTCTGGCTCTGTGTAGATTCACTGATGATAGGTTCTCTGATCCCATGGTGATTCTGGGCTTCCATGGTTTGATGGTTCTGATTTATCACAAAGAGGACGGATTTCCAGATTTGTATCTGTAAAGCAAGGTATTTTCCAACCCACACCCATGCTTAACATGTGGAATCGTTCCAAGCAGCCGACATGTCCCAAGCAGAATCTATTTCAGAAGGCTGTTTATAAAAGAAACAACCGCAGAAGGCAACAATTCCAAGAAAAACAAACGGGCAGAAATTCAGGTTTAAGCCCCGGCACTTCCTAAAGCAAAATACCACCCAAAACCATGAAGCTAACAGGCAAAAGAGGGTTGTTTTTGTTTTGCTTCGTTTCCCCAAAATACTTGGCTACAATTTTTGCTGAAATTTTACAACATTACCTTTGGATTTTTCCAATTCTTGGTGCACATTGAAATGAAAGAGCAGAGTAAAAGGACTGTTGCTTTTATGCATGTGTGCCTGTGTGTGTCTTTATACACACATGCAAATCTCTTTTACTGTAGATTATAATTACTATTCTTTATCATATGTAACTGATGTATAGTGCTGTGTAGCTTATAAACAGGAATTTGTACAGCTGAGATTGGCACAGGGTGTGTGATCCTAATGTCATCACCAGACAAATTCTGGTAGATTTTCCTTCCTGTTTTATAACAAAGCCCTACTCCTCCCTCTTTGTAAATGACACCAGTTTGGAGCAGAAGCACCAAGCCTGGGCTTATGACTGGAATCTTGCTCACAGGTTTAGTTTTCAATTGTATTGCTTATTATTTCCTTATGTTA